ACACCACTGAATAATAACAAAGGAACTTTAATGTTTTTTTACAACGATTGCTAGTAAACATGGCGAAGTGATGCAGATGAAGGGTACGAGTCGCATCAAGCTTTTTTTTTCTGAAACTAAAAATAGCTTATTCTCAAATGCCGTGTAAACAGCCCAGAAATACAACAAACTACCACAGAACGATTTTTTTGGCTCTATTAAAGTTGAAAAGTGATTGCTACACATAGCAAAAATCAAATTATGAAGCTGTGTTATATATTTAACGCAAAGATTCTTGAAAGGATTACGATACTGTTAAAAACGTAAATAATACGAAGTCATAAGGACGCACAGCTTTTAGAGGAAAAGAACAAAAAAGTTTAAGACTGACTGTCTAACAAAAACGTGAAAAAAAAATAAAACTTAAAATAAAAAAGATCATGACATCTAAGACTGACCATGCAGCTTTAAGTAAAAATAAAATCTATAAATTTGAGGGCGGCTTCACGGACTACATGCGACAGCTGTTGAAGTGTTATATTTTCCACTAAAACTATGTTCAATCACTAGCAAGTGTGAGAAATAGCAGATGGAGCAGAAATGGTACTTCACTGTCCCACTTCTCTAACACCAATAAAATCTACAAATTCACGTCAACCGTAAGCATCAAACACCTGTCTCACCATTAGGTCCCCTCACTCGCTCTTCTTTTGAGAACTACCCGATGATAAAGCACGTTGATCTCCGACGCTACTAACGTGAACCTGTATACCTTCCTTTACAGATTGCCACTTTACACTATCTCATTTACCAGATCCAACATAACATTAATTTCAACAGTTTATTACAAGCTATAACAAATAACAAAATAACTTCAAAAAACAACTCTATAGAATGGCTAAATTTTTCCTGGACTTAGCTTCCAAATTTTACTAAGCAAAACCTTCCATAAAACCCACCTTAAAATTCTGAAGTTAAAAATTTCTTATACGCTTAAAAAAATAAATATCATACGCTGCAGAACACTGGTAGTTTCAAAAAACAATTAAAAACCCGTATACGGCCACAAAAGTATTTCTTATATCAGAATGCAAAGAAGAAAAAGAATCAAATCACGAAACTGGAAGAACAAGAACCTGAAAGTTGCATAAAGTCAAAGAGGCAACATCAGAACAATCAATTAAAATATAACCCAAGATTCTCAGAAGATTTAGTGGAAAGACGAATGACAGATGAAAGACAGCACAATCCCTTGCAGAATTATCCTAAATGAATTCTGCAAAACAGAATTTTACACAATAGACAAAAAATGATTAACAAAACTATAATTGATAACGAACGGATTCTCATTTTTAAAAAAACATTGAAAAAACAAAGAAATTAATACAAATAAAAAATTTCATATAGGCAACTTTACGACGTTCAGCATCACATTAGAAATGTTAGTGCAGCTTGTAACTGATCGCTGTACAGTAGTTTTCATTTCTATTAAAGGTTCTAAAAAATCGGAATCCCATGAAGGCAAGGTCATTCCTTTTCACAACTATCACCATATGGTGAATGTGCATACTCCCGAGCCCAATGCTGCCAAGTTTCTTCTTTTTTCTCCAACCGATGAAGCTCAGCATATAAAGCTTTAACTTCGTCATCAGAATCAGTAAACCGGCTTTTCTCGTTGTCGGAGTTAAGCACAACCTTCTTCCTCATTCCAAGAGACTGCGGGAAGTCATGCGAACACACAAAAGTATTTGACAAACTGCCCAACACAAAAAGTTGGTTTTCCGACTGTTTTTCCCCACTAAATTCTTTCTTAAAACTCTGGATTTGCCCAAACCCATCTTTCTTCTGTTGTTCCAGTCTGACCATCACAACTGACTGTAAATAAATAAACCGCTCAATAAGAAGGTATTTTCAATCAAAAGCCCCAAAAATTGACCAATACGAGCACTTTAACTAGCATAAATTTTAAAAAATAATAACAGACATAATACTGAAAAGTCTCGGAAACTAACTTCTTGGTGGTGAGCTGGAACAGCACAGGTAACGTCAAGAGGTAACATATCACCAACAGCAAGTTCCGCTCTGCCGCTTTTTCTAACCCTAAGAACACCTAACTCTGTTCCACTGGGCAAGTCATGCAAGCAGTGGCAAGGTTCTCCTCTTTTGCTTGGCTAAAAAAACAAGATAGACCAAAAAATACCCACTCGCAATCCATTATTACTAAAAAATATATATCTCTTCAAATACATCAAAACCTCTACCTTTTGACTATGCTCTCCACTACCAGATGAATCAGGGTCTCTAGACCCACTGGCAAGCACCGAAAGTGTGCTGGGCAACTGCCATAACATCAAAGAATCTCTCTCTGCTGTAAATACAAACTGAGTGACTTTAAAAAGCTTTTGTTAAACGCCTTGACAGTTTAAATAACAAAACTACTAATTTATATCTCAACGCACATCTGCTCTCAAACAAAATTAGGGAATAATAAACGATCAAGTGAGATATTTTATAAAGCGTAAGAATACTATACAGAAAGATGAGAAAAACTTCTTCATTGGAAAACCGTTCAAGTACTTCTATTAAATGAAAACAATAACATTTTTACTGAAAAAGTACCTTTACTAATTTTCCCGAGCAACGCAGTTGCCTCACGGCTGCTAGCTGAAGTGGGATTACCAAGACAAACATCTTCTTCCTTCAGTCTGCTTTTAAGGTTTTCTTCCATTTCACGAAGAGGCAATCTACATGAAATATGTAAAAAGCCAATCGGTTTTATTTAACTGATAGAGCACAAGCTTCAATACAAGAATGGGGAAAAAAGGGTAAGACGTAGACGACAGCAAAAAAATTACTTAGGTTTATCTCTCATTTTTCAGCAACTATAAGCGAACTGTGAATAAATTTTTAAAAGAAACAAAAAAACCTTTTGAATCAAAAACTCTCATTAAAATGGTCGTATTAAAAGAACATAACACCGTTACCGCAAAAGAACTGACTTTTTGATTTCAGAAGAGATTTTAGATGAAGAAGCGACATTAAAAGTTTCATCAACTTCCTTTTTCACGACATCCTCAACTGTGTCGTCAAATTGTAGCTCATCAGAAAAAGGGAGCACCAACGGCTTTACTCCGCCTCCCTTCAAGTCCGAAATAAACTGAAAAGATTAGCTCACTGTAATCGTGAAGTTTTAAAAGTGTAAAGCTTAACTTTTTAAAGTCTTTTAAAAAAGCGTCCCATTAGGCACAATTTTTTTAGTAATTAGATAGTTAAAACTCTAGCGTTACTTTTAACAAGCTATGAAAAAAGCATGTATCCCCTTAAACACAACTTTTCTACCAATTAGATATTTAAAGACTCTACCGATACCTTTGAAAAAATTGGAACCCTATGAAAAACAAATTTTTCAGCTTCGTTCACTTTGGAATTATGCAAGTCAGGCTAAAGCAATTTAATATTTACTGTTCACCAATTAAATAAAATAAGGTTACTCAGGTATCGTCGACTTCCCGCCCTTCAAAAATATATAAAAATCACTGTATTTTAAGCAGTTCTGACTTGTTAATTATGACTGTGAAAAAGTAGCCAATTCCTGCAATACCCCAAAGTTTTAATATCAGGAGTGGAAAATGGCCACTACAATTTTAAGATGTCAAATCAGCCGAAAGGATGAGATCTACTGACAAGATCCAAAAAAGTTTTGGCACCTGAAATTTTCAAAGAAATAGTCCTTGAAATGCCACAAAAAAATGTTTATTTTTTCCACAGTTATGTTATACAAAATTTAAAAAGAACTTGGAAAAGCGAGAGTCTCCTACGATTATAAAAAAGGTAAGAGACAAATGACCTCCAAGTAACCTTTTGTCCTATTTATCCTTATGCCTCCTGCGAGTAAAAAAAAAAATTTGGGAACTTTTATAAATCTATATATCACAGTTGAAATTAATATAAAAGAAAACGTCAAAAATTAACGGACCCACTGGGATTGCAAAGGAAAGTAATAAACAAGCAACAACTGCCATAACAGAAACTGTACAATGAGGTAATATTTCACCTAGTCACTTGAACAGCTTTATGTTATTGTAGATATTTCCCTTTACAAATCCTATAATCAAACCTACCAGCTATCGACTTATATCTTTTTGAAAACAATTAATTTGACTAGTTTAAAAGGTCTCTATACCAAAAAGATAGTCCGAAGCCAACCTCATCTCTAAGCAACTCCGCCAGTTCTTCCATATCGCCTTCTTCATCAGAGAGCCACTCCGTCGCATAAGTGATACGCTTTGTGTCAAGACTTTCGCATATCTCAACGTCTTTATCAGGCTTTTTCGCATGAGGTAAACCAACCAATGGCAATTCTTAATGGACACAGTAGTGAGATAAGAAGGAAAACCCGAAAGTAATCGACTAAACAAAAGACTGATTGTTCTTATATAATTCCAACCATCTCGAAGTTTCGGTCTATCATGCCTTCCATCATCATTTAAGCCACTTGAGAATATTCCAGTTTGTTCAATATAATTTGGCTTTCTGCTTTCGCGATCTCCACCGCGTCCACGGATTCCACGAGGTCCTCGTCCTCCACGACCACGTTTTTCTTTATTAGTTCCCTTCGAGCTGTTAAAACAATAACTATAACCGGGAACGAAAAGAAGTGGCGAGAAATTAATTGAAGAGAATATTCAAAATAACTAACCAGAAAAAAACAAATAAAAAACTAAAATGAAAAATTTAGTAATGGACCCAAAAAAACTAAACAAAGTGTTCAGCTTTTAACTGTTTTATGTGAGGAATTTTTAAACGACAATTGCAATGAATAAAAATACTAAATATGCTGCAATCTAAAAGTTAATTCTGTGAAGAAAAAAAGTGATTAAACATACCTTGGTTGACCAGCGACTTCTCGTTTTCCGGCAACAGATAAATTTGGTAAAAAATTTGCTTTTTTTAATCCGCCTCGTAATAACTTCCCACGACCTCGCTCGCTCATCCTCCTAAATTACACTTAGATGCGGACCAATGGCTGTTATTAGCAGTAAAGAAAAAAATCTTGAATTTAAATGACTGCGGACACCAAAAAAGTAAATGAATATATTGGTGACTGAGAAGGAGGAGGAAAGGAGAGAGAGGCCACCAGGAACAACATCAGCATATGGTGGAGGATTGCAGCAGAAAAAAGCATCTGCACCAGCTGCGCCAGCAAAAAATGGCAATTAGGCTGCAATGTTGCAATGTTATTTGAATCCTTTTTCCGTGGAATTGATGCCAACGGTTCTATTGTGTGATCTGTTTTAGTTGACATCGGAGTTGTGTCTATCATACCATTAACTGAAGCTGTTTCAGTGGTTCTTTGTTACCTAATCTTTTCGAGTATAGCTTTTGTTTTAACTGTATAAAGTATAGTGCTCGTAAAATTCTTCCTCTGACTAGCTTCTGTTGGAATGGTTCGTATTCTGGACAATGGTGATATTGTACAGGACGACACTAATGCCTCACTTAGATCTAGGCAATCGAATTCCCCCAGCAGTTCCGTTCCGACATCAAGGACCGGGCAAAATGCCGGACAGGTCAATTGGTTTTTTTTTTCTTGGGTATTATTTTGTTAAAATAATCGATTAAGATGGATATACCAGAGTTTGCAAACGCTTTAACACCAGAGTTATAAAACTGTCTCTGTAATGTCCTTATAGAGAAGGTACTATTTTTTTAAACCTCACACTCCTTCTGGTTGTTTTTTAGAAAACCGTCATGAAAATGAAAGAAGTTTTAAATTTTTTTTTCTGTCTAAATTAACTTGTTGCAGGTAGTAACCTTAAAAACGTCAAATTATTTTTTATAGTTAAGTGGCAGTAGTGCCTTCGTTACTTTCTTATTATCTTCAGTAAACTTGTAAAACATTTTTGCAGACAGAATAGTTAATTTTCAGTTTACTAAGGGCTTTAACCTTAATATAAAATGATATTAGGAAAATGGTACATTTTTTTCTTTGTGTCTTCGGCACAGAACCTTGGCTTGTAGTAAAAATTTATATATTCCATAAAAAAAACACAAGTCATTTGGGTATATTATTGTGTGTTATCTTTTATACGTTCGGCCTGGCTGCCGATTAGGTTTAATTTTTAGCTATTTTTATTTAATCTCCTGTTAACCAACAATTAACTTTTTTTAGCATCAAGGTTCTAATTTCTTTACGACTATAAATGATCGCTTAACGGAATATGGTGTACCTTCTTTTGCATTTTATGGTATCACTATTATGCCAATACATTTATTATTGGCCCTTATTTGTGTATACCTTTTCGGCATACAATCTTTACTTTTTATCGCTTTGCTGTTGTTTATTACAAGTAAAAACAACTCACCAGGTAACATTTATTTAGTTGTTCATATTCTGAACTTTATTTAATAAATTATTAGTAAAACTATATGTTTATCAATCTCGTCGTATTGGAAGACTAGCTGCTCAGCAGATTAGCATTTTGTACTTGCTCATTTGTTTGCACTTTCAATATTATATTCATGTTGAGTGTTTATTTCACTCCAACTCTTTTAGGAACTCAAACAGCAACTGACAATCGGGCTGCTCAAGTTAGAAATCTTGAAAGTAACGGTCAGCAATTTTGGCAGGCTTCAACGTCTAAAATTTTCAGCGGTCGAGGGCATACTTTAGGCAAATAACTTTTTTTGCTTTTATTTATTAATTTAATCGGTGTTTTGGTGTGTTTGAGGACTTCTAACTTTGCGTCATTTTTATTTAGTATTGACCTTACCAGTAACTGTGCTTTATTAATTCTTTTTATCATAAGTTAGGAACTATTTGTTATAAACTGATTTCACATTCACTTGGAGTTTGGTTTAACTTCTGTTTATTTTCTTTTTCTCTTTAATGGTAGGACTACATTATAATTAAATTCACTCGTTCTCTTTGTTTCTTTTGAGAAACCTTCGGGTGAGTTAAATTTTTCTCTTGTTTCATATAAATCTCTATCATTCCATGTGCTTTTGGACATCCGTTTTCAAAGGTGTTGCCGAAAAGTTTTATTAATATTAAGGTTGCTAGATGATGTGACGAAGTAGATTATAAATTTATTTTTTTTATGAATATAATTTTTGTTTATTATGTTTTTGTTATTTTGGTCATACAGTAATTGCTTTTGGGAATGCAGGCGATGAGTCACTAAATATGCGGGGGCAGCCAAGGGTTATATATTTAATACGGTGTGTAGTGCCTTGCTGCCTTCTGCTTTCTTAAAATTTTTTCACCTTCCTTGTGACTCCAGCATTATTTCCTTTGTTTACTGTTCCAGTTTTGATTACGTAATCGTGACTGTACTTCGTTGTTGTTTCCTCACTAACGTGTCAGTGCTCCTGAATTTTTTGATATTTATCGTCACACCAAAAAGATGAGGTTTTCTGGGTTTGAGAGCACCGTTTATTTGTTGACTTCTATTAATTCTCCCGTTAGAGTTGTAAAATAAAAGGGGCGCTATTATCTTGCACATCTTGGTACCGATATAGCTTTTTTTCCTTCTTTTGCTTCCCTACTAGCTTTGTTTTTTTATTTCTATTTTCTGCTGATTTATTTATTTTTGGGTAATTAGGAAGGTTTTCGATTGTTTTAACGGGTACGAAGTGTGTTTGTAAAATATACGCTATTTTTACAATATCTCTTGGATTGGACATGGTCGGTTTAGTTTACTTTGAGACTTTCCATTTGAAACCTGAGCATTTCGGACGGACAGAAGCAAATTTTAAATGATAGCTTCAATGCAAATTCTCACTTTCAATAAATATAAAGAAGAAAATATTGTAGCAGGACTTTGTTTTTGAAGACAATATTATATTGAATTACAGAAAACTCTTTGTCCACTTTGTTTCGAAACTAGGCCGAGTAGTTTAAGTAATGAAGTTTGCTTGTGGTGGAAGGGTTCATGAACAGTTATCTAGAACGAACTGCTCACTGTTTAAGTATTTAAGATGGGTGGGAGTACCATTGCGATTTCGGGCAGACGTCATTCAGTTACAGTTCGTCCACTCAAAACACAGATTTCAGCATCAGTTATTGTGTTGATGTGGGTAGTACCACAAAGTTTGTTCATATTTTCGTGTTTAAACTGTGATTCTTTTGCGATAACTGTTTTCTGTGTCTAATTTCTCATTCGATGCGCATGGAAAAGTGAATAGATGTTATTTGGTTTCATGAAGGTTTGTACTGACCAAAAAGTACTCATTGTTCTGGTTGTGTTGCCGAGTCAGCTTTATGAAATTATAACGAAGGTTTTTTGGAAGTATTTTATGCTTTAACTGTTGTTTGATTTGGGTCGAAACTTCATAGGTCTCAAAAGAGAAGTTCAATAGCTAAAGAAAAAAGTGACAAGAAGATGGATAAGTACTTTGTGTGTAGTTAAAGTTGCCAAATAGACTGTGGTTGAGGTAATCGTTGGCAGATTCGCAAATTTCAACGACGAAATCAAGTTTTATTCTACCTGAGAGTCATTTGATTTTAAGCCATCTAGGCTTGTTATCTAATTCTTATTTTCTTTTACAAACGACGCAACTGTTACTTATTACCCTTTTTTAGTTGAAGAGGTAGGGAGGTGGTACTCTGAATCGGTGCAAAGATGTCTTCCGTAGAGTCAAATCTTTTCGTTATAAAAATACGGGATTTGACTGGAAAAAAGTACCTTTTGAATATTCATTTGCTGTACGAAGGTGATACGGAAACTAAATTTTGCTCACCTTTACAAATTTTTTTTTTCAACTCGCATTTTTATTAATCGTCATTCTTTGTTTATTTTAGCATTTGTTGATTGCATTTTTCTGGCCGAAATGTTACGATACAACTGTTGAAAATAAACAATTTAGCTCGCATTTGGTTTTTTAAAAATCTCCATTGCTTCGTTTGTTTTACCCTTGTCCTTCATTGGATTCGCGTATTTACTAAATCTACTTAAGTTTTGCCAAGCAAACACTGATCTTTGTTCCGAGAAAATTTTGATGGAGGAATTAATGGAAAGAACAACGAATTGCTAACCATGAAAAGATAAAATGACGTCCTTTAAAGAATTTTTCAGCAGATCAGGAAAAGCAGCTGACAGTTCAAATCGGAGTGCCCACTTTTGCGTAACCTTTTGAGCAGTTCTCTAAAATAGGTAACGACAGCGCGCAGAAGTTTTTTTTACGAGGTTATGATATCACTTTGAAAGTTCTTTGACTTTGCCAGTTGTTCCAAAGCTCTGTGGTTTAGAAATTTATGCCGCTTAAGTCGGATGATGCAACGTTTGGGATGCCTAAGAGTAAAAAACATCAGAAATATTTTTATTCATCGTCGGACATTGTTTAGTGAAACGGTACTCCAGTACGCTCAAGTCAACAACTACACAAAAGTGTTGGGGTCGCTTTTTTTGGGTATATATTATATTTACTTCTTCTGGTTTCCTCCAAAAATTAAAATAATTAGTGTTGTCAATAATCCAACTTATTTTTACTTTTTACTTTTGGGTAACTTTGTTTTATCTTATTATATGTTAGTTTATTTTTTAGGTGTTCATGATTACGGTTTACCTTGGTCAGCAACTGTCGTCTTAACTGGTGTAGTTTTGCGAATCTTAGCTTCGCCGACACATATTTTTGCTGAGAAATTGTATGCAAAACAGACAGTAACCGTTGGCTTTTTGAGACGTCAGCTAATCAAAGTTTGTTTACTGGATTTTGTATTTCTCGTTTTGTACTATTTGTGTTAATCGTCTACTCTTCAAATTCCTCTTAAATCATCTATGTTCACTAACTTCTTAAACCACGTCTTATTACGTGTAAAAATTGTTTATTTTTGGGTTATGTTTATCTGTGTACTGTTACGGGCCTTTTAGAAATTTGCTGATCATTATAAAATTGGTATCGTTGCTAGTGGCGATAGATATAAGTTGGATACCATCGATGAACGCCTCTTGAAGAAATGCAATACACTGGTTTTTTTTTTTTTTTTTTTTTTTTTTTTTTTTTT